GACAAGACATCAGATATCTGTCAGCTGGCTAGCTTTTGTTAGCTAGCTACCTGTTGTTTAACCTGTTGTTTAACATTTAAGTCCTCTCTTCTTCCGCAGTTTCACATCTTGTAATCAAAAATTTGTCAACACACAAAAAGAGCTCAAATTGTGGTGAAAAGTCTCATTTTTCTTTTTTTCTTTTTTACCAACAACTACATTGATAAATGATCAGTTAATAGTTGATTTGTATAGTTAGTGTTAATGAATCAAAACAATGAAATGATCTTTAATAATGTTCACTAATCAAAAGTAATGTCAAAAAATCTGTTTATTTTCATCATAACTTTGTTTAATGAAAGGTAATTCATTCTTGATTGCATGTTGCACTTGAGTTATGTAGAGCTTACAAGAGATGCTCAGGGTTATATACTGATGACACCAGTAAACATAACATCCTCATTCCAAGATGTCACATACCTTTGTGACTTTTGATGGTTTTAAAGTAGTAAGTTTTAAACCAAGCCATAATTGTTTTAATTAACCAATTTATTTTAGTGCCTAAAATTAGCTGTTTTTTCGTGGCTTTATAAATAACTTTATAACTCATAAAAGCTGTTCGTAGATGCACTACACTGTGTTTTGTAAGTTGTATTATAACTTCACAGAAACCATCCAGACAATGTTCAAAGAAGTAATAAAAGCTCATTCTTAACCAATTAGAAAACATAAGAAATAAAAATGTTAATTAAGATGAACAATATTAAAATAAGCCAGTAGTTCATTACAGTTAACTCCTGTTTTTACCTTCTTTTTTTTTTTAAATGATATAAAGTTTTGTTGCCTCATTTCTTATTAATGTGACTTCTGGACTGGATTATATTACATCTTCTGGTCACTCCCAGATGGTCCTGCTGAGAGTTGAACTGAAAACCCAGCTCTCATGAAGGAGTGGCTTGACATGGCATCAGTAAAATATAACACTAATTATGCTTTGGTTGAACATTTGATTAACAAGTCCAAAACAGCCTTCAAAGAGAATGACAATGCTCAGCTTCTTTTTAATCTCCATACAGCGTGGTAGTTGCTTGTGAATTTTTGGTTTCGGAGGGTTGCACATAATGG